AGGATCATATTCGGGCATATATTTATTGTTGGCCTCCGAAAATCGGTTGCTACACACCGAAATTCCACCTCTTATAGCATTTTCGTAAAACATCACCATATCTAGATCCTTTAGTAGTTCTAACTTACACCCAGTGTATTTGAGCATACAGTCCCACGTATATCCGGGCATTGTATAGTACCACGCAGGATCCAGACCATAGGTGGAGAAACATTTTTTACGCAATTGCTCAAAAACGTCGGCAAGAAGCAGAATATCTGTTTTTAAATATATATCAGAATACTCTCCTAATGTTTTAATGTTAAACTGTTGCCAAACAGATTGCGCATGAGCATACTTCTCGTCACTTACACTTTCATCGTTTAATTTATTGTAAAATTTTTCAATTGGGGGCAAAGTCGTTTCATTTAATTTTTTCAACGAATCAATGTAATCGTAACAGAAAACTCCTTTCTGTGTTAATAATTTGAATTTATCTTCATCTAAATTTTGAAATTCCCTTTGTAAAATTTTCTTTTCTGATACTGCTAAAATTGAAGCTAATTCATCAAGAGACGCCCCCATAAATCGAAAAGAGTCTATAAACCGCAATTTAATGTTATTTTCATCTGAGTGCAGCGTAAAGGAGATGTATTTATCTTTGTTGATGGGAAGTAGACTTAAGCGACCTTTTTTACATAAATTCGAAATCATAAAGTGACTATCGTACCCACTTAAATTATGGAATATAACCGGCACAACAAACAATTTTCTAAAGTTCAGATTGCATGCTTGGTGTGCGTAACCTCTGAACTCTCCACTGAAATGGTTGTGATCTCTAACGATTATGTCTTTTTTTGTTTTTGAAAATCTCTTACCGCAAATATGACATGATGTTGCCTTACATGTGTCTAATTTTTCAATCATAGGTACGCTTGTTTTTATTTTTGAGTTTACAAATTGCGCAACACCAGCCATACGATTTGCAAACCAATCCATACAATCTGCACCTCGAAAGCTCTCGAAATAAGAAAGGCTATCATCATAGCTGCATTTTACATAGAAACCAGCACTATACGGAACGTGTTTTTGATATTTTATGGTTTTAGTTAAATTTACGACGCTACTTTCTTTATGATTTTCTAATTGACATTCAAAATCTGCATAAACAACAAAAGGAGTATTTTGTTGGTATGTAAAGTTTTTAAATTCAACGCAGCTCTCTTTAGGAAGGTTAATTTTATATTTATTAAATTTAGAACACAGTTTTTCATGTTCAACTAATTTATTTTGCTGATGGAAATAGTTCAGACATCTATCGCAAATAAATTTTTTCTCACGATGTTTATTTAACTGGCTACTAATAAGACGCGAAAGATTTTTAATCCAACAATAGTGATATTTAATTTCATCGATTGAATCATTATCTTCATTTGCTGGCGCTGGTGGAGGAGCATCATAATCATTTAAACGCGGATAATATTTATTTTGAGCTAAAAGTAAATTAACATGCGTATCCCGTTTATTTTCCGTTAATCTTGCTGGTACTACTATGTAAAATGATTTTTTTTCTGTTTCGATCAATTCTAAAGCGTAAACATTGACTGAAATGTTATTCATCTTTTCAAATTTTGAAATTTTTGTTAGCAGCATAGCACTATCTAAATTTTCTGTTTGTAAAACGTCAGTAAAGTGTGGATATGAGGAGGTTAGTTCTGCATGTCTTTTATTGCTAGGAGTCCGAAGAGCGCTTACAATGGCCCAGTAAAAGCAATTTTGATCTATATTTTTAATGTTTATACAAGCATTTTTCCTTATAATCGGTTCTGGTAGTCTAATATAAGATGAACCGTTTCCCAATTGATATTTACTGATATTAACAACTAAGGAAATAATTTTATTTAACGCAAATCCCGAATCTTTTTCAGCAAATTCCGATAATTCGTTTAAAAGTTTATCTTTCACATATATCTTAAACCACTCGTCTATTTGAGTTGATGTATCAATAATATGATTTTTAGTATTAATATATTTAATTCCCAAAATTTCATTATCCCCCGATTTCCTAATAAACTCCCCGCAAAATGTTGTATTTACTTTGAGCGCACAATGGGTGTTCAAAATATTCCTAATTTTCCTTTTAAAAACAACTACACAATCTGCTAAAAATTGATTCAAGTCCTTATGACGCAAATTAGCTATGGAACCGGTTTTTATTCTACTTTGAAAGCTCGATTCTACATTTTCCCATCTAACCCTCTGACCCAATGTTAAGTGAAGTCCTGCCCCAATATGTCTAGTTAAAATCAACTTTCTAAAATGTTTAAAATGCCCCAAATTTGTTTCTACTTTTCTACAGGTCCCTACAGATAATTTATTTTGCCTTCTACTACGAATTACCCGTTTACATAATCTAATTTGTTTTTCTATTCGTTTCAGCCACACTTCCGCGTCTCTGATTGTAAAATTATCAAATAAAATTTTCCGTAGACTAACAATTGATAGTAGAACACCGTCTGTTTGTTTGATGATCTTTTTAACCTTATTTGAAGACATTTGAAAAGACGACATTTTTTTTTTCAAGCAAACACATTACTCAAAAATATATAAAAATGCTCACCCTGTCCTCCTCCTCCTGTTCTCTGCTTTGTTAATTTTCCACTATTTTGAATGATGCTAGCGGTCGGCTTTTCCCTACGTCCACTTCCCCTTGGAAGATGATCGAGTATTTTCCGTGAAAAAGTTCGTCGATGACCGGCTGGTACGTTTCCGTCACCCGCTGTGGTAGAAATAGCACTTCCGGTCCTAAATCTAGTAGCACGGCTTCCCCAAATTTCGACTTGACCACTTTAGCTGCTTGGATTGCAAATGGTGTCCCGACTGGTAGGTCCTTTAATTTTCTGATAGGTTTGCGGTCTACAATCGAAGACGCAGCATTAATTTTTGATAAATCCATCTATAAAAAAAATTGAGTCGTCTAACTATTTTGAAGCATAACACGAAAAAACAGTTGCACTTAGAGACATAAAAAAGAAAAATATTAAATAAAATAGCACTTACTTTTTTTAAAATTTTCGCTATCTCGTCTCTCTCGAAGCACTATTGTACTGCGGCCGTTGTTCCAGCTTGCAGCGTTGTGCGTTAAGTGTGAAACAATGATGACTATTGCATGCGCTCGCTAAATATAAATACGTGGTTGAGATAACACACGCGTGCATGAGATAATTGTATCGTAAATATGCATATTATATGCATCATATTCTCAGTACCATTTTTATCGAGAAAACAACATTCATTGCGGTTGCAGTATTTTTTATATAATTTCTTAGTAATACATGAATGTATCGTTTGTCCGGCGGAAATTCCAATTACAAGTTGCACATGAGAGTAGAAATTTAGAAATATAGTAAATTCGTGTATGATTATTGTATATTTGCTGCCTAATTTTTTTTCAGTCAAGATTTTGATTGGGGGGTAAACGAATTTATATTTGCTATCTGAGATTTTTGACATCATTCTCTATCAGGTGTTGGTTCATGAAATTGGACATGCTCTCGGCATAGCACATAGTGCTTCTCCGAATGCTATTATGTTTGCCTTCTATCAGCATGAGATTCGTGGTCTAGATGTTGATGATATAAATGCAGTACAATATCTATATGGAAGAAAAAACAAATATGATTCAATCCCAACGTCTACCACCGCATCAGCAATACCAAAAACAACAACAACTATAAGATCTACAACTCGTAAGCAGCCGATCCTCAAAAATTTGTGTGATATTATTCCAGATTTTATGTTTTTAGCTATTGCTCCAGAGTTTTCAAATTACCGATTATATATTGCACATGATATGTTTATATGGAAACTAGACTTAAACGAAATGATTATCCCATCTCAGCCTGAACTTCTTGTCGATTATGTTCCTACAGAATTACGTCAATACACTTTACAACATATTTTCCAATCAACAAACGGTGACTTGATTACCATTGTGTCTCCAAACAACTATTTCTCAGCATCATTCCCTACCATTAAATTTCTTGATAATTTTTCAATTGATATACCCGATAGGGCTCGAATCAATGCTATTTTTCAATCAAACGCAGGACGGTCCTATACCTTTTATAATAATATGTCATATATAGAATTTTCTAACGATTTTACTGATGTGTTGAACAGAGGACGGATAAGAGACATATTTCCTGGGTTACCTGAAGTTTAGGGAAAAAATTAAAAAACAACCAGAACTGAACCGTGAAATACATAATTTGATTCTTGTCTGTCATGAACCAAATCAGTTGTCGAACAATGATTTGAGTCGATTAGTATCAACATCTAAAGTACTCCCTGATATGTAGTTTTATTGAAAATACCTCTGGTTTGCGAAATAATATTGTCGGAATTTCTTGTTGCAAGTTGTTCAAGCGCGGGTATTCAAAACATGGCACACACACACACACCAATCAACCTTATTGTTATATATACTATATGTTTCAATAAAATATCCATTATACTATTTTCATTTTGAACGGTATCATCCTGTATAATAATAACAGTACATCGTATACAGGTTATGAGACATTCTGACCGACCGACCGACCGACCAGAGGAGCCCACCACGCTATTTAGGTCACGCCTTGCTATATACGATTTAACGATATACCGTCGGTCCATCGATCCGCTATTTTTCGATGCACCCCTGTATACACGTTGCCCCCCGTAATCCACGCCAACACCAGACAGGTGCGACATCGGCGCATTCTATGCGCGAGATGCCCAACCCATCAATGGCAGCTGTCCAATGACACATAGATTCCGTTAGGTTTGTACACCGCCAAACAAATCTACGCCATTTATGCGCGAGATGCTCAACCCATCAATGACAGGTGTCCAATGACGTATGACAGATGACGTGTAACGCCATCTATGCGTGAGATGCCCAATGACGCATGACAGGTGTCCAATGACACACAGATTCCGTTTGGTTTGACAGCGCCATCTAGCGGCGGAATCCCCAACTCATGAATACAGATTCCGTCCAACAACCTGTCAATGGCGCGCGACGCCAGCGCCTCTGGTGGCGGATTTTGGAAGTTTTGAGACCGAATCCCCATAAGACATCTACTGACCGGCGTTCAAAAAACTATTCGAGATGAAATGAGTTGCCGTGGCGCCATCTATGAGAACTTTTCATAGCTATGTTTCTTTTCTCCACAATAATTAGAAATCTATTTGGAAAAGGTAAGTGTCTCATAGACGCCGCTGTAACCAACTGTATGAGCCTATATGATCATTCATCACTGTGTATCATTTATATTAGTTGTTTAAAATTTGGAACACATTTCAACACTGTAGTAATACACTAAAAACTAAAGAGTAAAATTAATAAGCAAACAGAAAATATAGTGTTCGAAAAATAGACGGAAATATTTTAGAGGGTGGTTCCTTGTTAGAATATAAAAAAAAATTGTATAAAGATGGGTCCGGAAATGCGTTTTCGAGATACAGGTGATAAGTTGAAAAAAAAATAATTTTTATAGAAATTTAGCAAATAAAATTACGCGAGTAATTCTTTTCTAGAGGAACTGACTCGCATATGCCAAACCTGTATGCAGAAATGATTTTTTGTGCAAAAATTAATATAAAAATAAATGCAATAGAACGGTTTTTATTTTTTTTCTCGAAAACGAAGTGAGGTACGAAAAAATACGAGAGGCAAAGAAGTAGTATTTTCAGATGCTTAATCAAAAAAGTTATAAAAAATGTTGCGTACATTTGTTTGCCAATAATATGCGCTGCGGTACCCCCGGGACGCCACTGGACCCAACAATTTTAATCTATATAGAGCTAAATTAGCCTCTAAATACAACAAATTCCAACAGAATGGAGTAAATATATTTCAGGATATCATTAAAAAATGCAAAAAACTCATCACCCTGCATTTTGAACACATTTTCGGACCCATGTTTATGTAAACTTTTTTTATATGTATTCTTTAACAAGGAATCATCCTCTAAAATATCTCCGTCTATTTTCCGAACATCCTGTATAATGGCTATGAACATGGCTGCGATTTTACCAAATTACACTCAATCTTCATTGTTTGTTAATTTTTTTGTACACTAAAAATGCAGACTCATAAATGCAATACGTTTAAACGTCATCATCATTTTATTTCAAATTCGTATAGAAGAAGCGTTATCTGTGAATGAATGAAATGTAATTATTATAACGTCAAGTGTGAAGTGTACGAAAAGCTTTAAGTACATTATTCCATCAATATCAACAATCTCAAAAACAAATACCATCAAACAATAAAAAAGTAGCAACCCTGTCTTTTATCACTCCTAAGAACAATCTTATTGTCTAAATGTCTTCGATATAGTGGCACTATCCAAAAAACGAGAAAAATCAATGAAAACTGCAGAAATGTTGACTATTTTATCAGGAATAAAGACATTTGCAATTGTTTCGATGTTTTCGCCAGAGATGGCGCTAGTGTCGTTAATATTGAATGTTTTGGGGTTCTGTCATGAATAATATCATTATTGCAGTTGCGGCTTGACTTTCAAAGCGTATACCTATATTTTTCTCAAGAATAACGTCATATTAGAGCTAATAACCGATCGTGTTAATCCAGAATAGTGACATACAGTGCATTCTCACTATATTCCTACAACATAAAAATTCGGAAAGTGAGTCATTCAAACTATCCGATGTTAAAATAATAAGGGTGGAATCTCAACATTCTGGAACATTTTCTACAAAAACTCCTACAGTGAGACTGACTTTCGTAAAATTGAGGTAGATAAAAAATCTTATAGAAGATCTAAGAAAAACGAAGCAATAAAAAGAGGCCCTACAGTTACTCTGAATAAAGCATACAAACGTAAGATTCCCATTTCCGGGAAAAAGAAAAGCGTCTTACTTAATTTAGTAAAAAGAATATAATACGCTCATACTATGAGGAATTTTACAATAATTTGTAACCAATTTTTGTATTGTACTTATTTTCTTTCTGTACTTACCTTCGATTTATTTAGTACCTCGTAGCCTTTAAAATGTTGTTAGTTGTGTATCATTGGTAGTAATACTAAAATAAACTTTCCCCTCTTTGTTCTGTAACCACGAATTGTTTGTCATATATTTTTTAGAAATGTATTATTTTTCTTAGGAATGAAGTCACATTCCTGTAAAGTTGCAAAGAAAGTAACAAAATGGGATATTTTTGAAAACATACTGATCTATAATTCAATTAATCTGAAAGTTCAATAATAATTTTTCAAAATCCCATTTATTAACTTTATCTTCAATTATCCAAAATTGTTCTTCAAAAACTATAGAAAATGTCTCTCCTGAAAAAAAAGCTTTTTTTGAATAGTGTCACTATTCTTGTACAAATTCTACGTACAAATAAACGCACAAACTTGATAAATGACGTTTGAATATCAAACATCACAAATACAACAACGGTCGCATTCGGAAGACATACCTCTTGTGAACAGTAGCTGATTGGCGGAACACTTTTTTTCCACATACAATTTCCATCGTCATATACTCCATTTCCCTTTTAAAGATGCCAGTACGTAGTGGCGATCAGTGCTTCAGAGGGCACCATTCCCGCGAAAATAGTAACCAAGTATAAATATTATATTTCTCTTTACTTTTTTTGCTAAAATATATTATTAAACCCAAAATTACCTATTTGGAACATTTCCTTTTTTCTTTCATTATTTCATCTCTCATTTATTTAACTTCAATTTTTTATCAATTTTCATCCTAAACTTTGTTGAAATTTAGGCGTGCCCTATGACGTAACTGTAATCACAGAAGGCTCTGACCTATTAAGTTCAATAATATTTGACGTTTGGAAAAACAACTGAATTTGAAAGGAATGTTGACAGTTGCTTTGCACTGTTGTCGCATATTTTTTAGTAAATCCGTGCAAGTTTGACACTAATATGTTCCGATAAAAACGTGCAGGTATTTCCATGTTTTAAAAACAAGTTCAAAATGTGCGACTGAAATATTGGCAACTTTTGTAGATAACTTTTTTGAGTTTAGTGCGCGACAGAAACCAACCAAAATGAAAAATATAAACTTATTGAACGAGTATATTTGAACAGAAATAAAAGCAGAGTTCAACTGTCAAAAACGCTCAAGTTATATTTTTACACCACAAACATTGGACACACATATATGACGAATTTTATAAAAAATGTCGAAATTAGATGGAAACCCTGTCATAGAAGTTTTTGATAAAGAAAAATGAGGATTGGTTGAACTAAGAATTTCCGCCTTCCAAGAAAACCGCACTGTTACTGCAGAGCAAGAATCAACAAGAACTTTTGGAAGACCAGTGAAGAATTTTCAGAGCCTTGGTAACAGGGGTAAACAATTGGGGATTCGTTCATTAGTTTCTAGCCATTCAACAAGCGACATTTTTATTTATTTAATTACACCTTAAACGTTTATTTGCTGTTTATTTTCACTTTTAATAGATTGGGTTTTGATTTGTAAAAACTAATCTTAGACTTTCTGCAAAAATTATATTGTATTTAAACCTCATCTGGTAATGATTTTTTTAATATATTAATTTTATTCATATTAGGTCCTAGAAGTTCGCTGTCAAAAGAGTTAGGTCAAATTAAAATTAAACATTGTTTTTTCTATAAAGATGCAGCGAAAAATGATTAAATTCTCGAGATACAGGGTCTTGAGTGTTTAAAAAAAATATCATTTCTTCGTCATAAGTTCTTTGAGACTACAGCTATTTTTACTAAATTTGATTCACATTCTCATTATAGGATAAAACTGTTCATTATCACATATTCAGTTTTTGTAAACTTCTGAGCATTTTTGTTTTAGTGTCCCCACAACCTGACAATTTGACAATTTCCCAAAAACTGCTCACCATACCCTATTTTAGCGAGAATGCCTTTTTTGCTTAAAACTATCCAGGAAATTGTTTTTTTTTAGTAAAAAACCTCACTGAGAAAAAAGTGATGGCCATTTAAAACGATCTGAAGTGCAGTGTGAAGCGCCCTCTAGCGGCCACGATGTCCATATTCGGGTTTCGCATCCCAAAACACCCCCGGATACCAATTTCTGAAGTAATATCTACGTTAAGAAATTTCCATGAATTAAAAGGACTTTTATTTTCTAACTTTACCATCCTGTATCTCGGAATCAGAGCAATTTTGGACAAAGGTAAGTTACTTCAAATCGGCTTGTTCTGAACTCAGGAATATAATTATGCTAACATTTTGTAAAGACCGTTAAGGTATAGTACCACCATCTTCAATTTTTGACACTTGTCAATTTTTGATGCAATTTTTTAAAGAGAATTTCTTTAGCTTTCTAATGAGGTATGGCTCATAAAAATCGGTCAACCAGTAACATAATAAGAAATCTTCATACTTTTTTCGCGCAAATGGTGCCCTCTGAACCACTGGTCCGCCTAGGGGGGGGCATGGCCTCGTCGATCCTTGTATTCAGGTGAATAGAATAGAAGATGAATTAACATCTACCAATCACGGTCCGCCAAATGGAAGCAATCACAACACAATATCAAGTCACAAGTCTCTATCATCTTCAGCAGGTACACAAAGGAACAGCTTGGCACAACAACTGTTGAAATTATTGAACATTCTTTGTAACCATCTTGGCTTGTTCGTCCAGCCGATTGTCAGGTAGTAGACTGGAATGCCACAGGATATGAAGACCAGCCCTACTGTTACTTCTACTGGGCTGACGTAGCAAGGAAATGTTACCAGGAAGGTGCAGATCAGAAGGAAGATTATTGGTAACGCCAAGTTTACCTGGAAATTAAAAAAATGATCAGTGCATTATTGTGAGGTGAAGAAACCTCTGCTCTTGGTTAAAGTCATTCAGGTAGTAGTAGTTTGTTTGTTTAAGATTTATTTAGCATGATTGCTACAATTACATTCTTTTAAAAAACTAAACAATTATGTAACATACAGATATTTAGAAAAAACAAAATTTGCATCACTGTCCATGAAATGTTCCTTTAATTTCCTTTTAAAGATCTTTAAATTACAAGTAGACTTTATAACGGGTGATTTTTTAAGAGGTACAGGATTTGATTTTCAAAAAAAAAAACACAAAAAATTTGAAAAAACGATTAAATCTTTATTTGAGTCGATAGAACGGTTGATATAATTTAATGTTTAAAGATTATTTCATGTAAATGTTGGCCGCGGCTAGGCTTTACTGGCACACTCTCTCCAACATATCGGCCGGTATCTCACGAATAAATGCTTCAATATTGGCTTCCAGTGCGTCAATCGTTGCTGGTTTATCCCTGTAGACATTAGCCTTAACTTGGCCCCGCGAGAAATAGTCCAACGGCGTTAAATCACACGATCTAGGCGGCCAATTGACAGGCCCCTAACGTGAGATAAACTGCTCACCGAACTCGCCTCTCAACAGGGCCATTGTTTCGTGTGCGGTCTGGCATGTGGTACCATCTTGTTGAAACCACATGTCAGCCAAGTCCAGCTCTTCCATTTTGGGCAAAAAAAAGTTTGTTATCATCGCACGGTAGCGCTCGCCATTCACAGTTACGTTCCGGCCATTGTCGTCTTTGAAAAAGTACGGCCCGATGATGCCACCGGCCCATAATCCACACCAAACAGTGATTTTTCGGGATGCATTGGTAGCTCTTGCAATGCTTCTGGTTGGTCTTCACTCCAGATGCGTCAATTTTGCTTGTTAACGTACCCATTCAACCAGAAATGAGCTTCGTCGCTGAACACAATTTTTCGATAAAAATGTGGATCTTCCTCCAACTTTGCCAGCGCCCGTTCACCAAATTGGAAACGTTATGGGAGGTAGTGTGGTTTCTTTTCTTGCACCAGCTGTATCTATCTCTAGGTTTTACACCCAAATCCTGTCGCAAAATTTTCCACGTAGTGGAGTAACAGAGGCCCAATTGCTGCGAACGGCGGCGAATCGACATTTCACGGTCATCACTAACACTGGCGGATACAGCCGCAATATTTTCTTCAGTCCTCGCTCTACGTCTGCGTGTTGGTGGTTTAATGTCCAATAATGTAAACTGGGTTCGAAATTTAGTCACAAGCTTCCGAATAGCTCCCTCAGTAGGCCGACCAAATTGCCCATAAATTGGAAGCAGTGCTCGATGCACTCTCTTAACCGAACATGAATTTTGATAGTAAAATTCAATAATAAGCGTTGTTCGTTCGTAAGTCGATTCATGGTTAAATTATAGACCAAACTTAACAAGTTTGACAATGACACAAGACATGATTCACGCGTCATCTGTCAAAAACAGTGTTGCCAAAAAGATACTAGCAGAAAAATCACCCATTATATTCCTAAAGTGCTCAGGTGCACAGCTTAAAAATTAGCATGATATTTCTCTCGAAAGGGTCAGTCTCACCCATTAATCACCCATTATCATTATTCATTTCCTCTTGTATAATAATTATGGTAATGATTATTCAATTCTAAATGTTGTGACAAAAACAATTTTTTTATTTTAAACATAAAAATAAGAACCAAATACCTAGCTACCTTGTGTGGCACCCGGTGCGGTGGTGTCACCCCAAGTCGAAAGCAATAAATTTTATATGATATATAAACATCATGGATAATTTAATATTTACATTTTATTTTTACTAAACTAAGGCAGAAAAAATATTTTTATCTTAGATTTAAAATCTTTTCTATCTTTGACAGCTGCACACTCAGAAATAACTTCATCACAGGCAGCAGCGGTAGCCGCAGTAGTAGACTCTTCGGTCTCCTGATCAGTTGCCGTGCGCTGTGCGGGTTCGAGTCCCGTCCCAGGAGAAATTTTTCTCTTGGCTATGGATGTTGTGATTGTCCGTAGGTGGTAGACGGTTTCTGACTGTCGAACGTGGAGGTACCACCCGGCGGATCTCGTAGGCGGAGCCAGAATGTGTGCATGTTGCATGCACACGTGTTCCCTCGCCAGAGTCCGTGTGGCGTTCCCCCTTTCCCCTGTATCCCCTATAGCCCCACGGTACCCAATGGGTGTTTAGGCCTTAGGCCTTCGTGGTAGTTGGAATAAAAAAAAACAAAATGTATTTTTTGTATTGCCTCGTGTTCGATGGCTATATACCAAAACTTCTAATCCGCGATTGGGTCATTGTTGTCGCAAATTGTTTTTATTAATTTTACTTTACTGAAACTCCTTTCACATGACGCTACTGACACGCAAACCGTCATGAACAATTTTAGTGGTCATAAGATTTGGAAAAGATTCTGTAAAATCCCATTCTAGAACAAACTTTAAAAAATCTAGAGATACCCAATCAGAACCTGTGACATTAGCGGCTTTTAAGTGTCTTCACAGTCTTGGTATCTCCAAAAGTAATTCTGTTTCTGAGACCTCATCATAAAAATCAGTAAGTTTGGATGTCCTAGCTAATTCCAATTCTTCAGTATCTGCCAAAAGCAAAATATTTGTTTGTACGATCTCAAACAATGAAGCTAAATCTTGAAGAAACTTCGATCTTGTCTGGAGTTCAACTCTGAAAAAGTTGAGTCACCGGGTAGGTGTCACCCGGTGCGGACCGCTCCCCCTTTGCTACGCCAATGACCAAATATATGAAATTTTTCATATTCAACCACTGCAATTCTTGTAACACAGATTTTATTTTGGTGTACTTATTTTTATTCAGTATTATTCTCATAGCTTTTTTGCAGGACTTGTAATTTTGAGAATACAGCCTCATTAGCAGTGAACAAGATAGTTGAACAACAATTATAAACTATTTTTTTTTGTATACGTATATATACCAAGACTATAGGAATTTTTTAAACAATGTACTCATAGTGATCCGCAAACATTAGTTTACTATCAATATACAGGGTTATCCAAATTAAGTGTCCACCATTAGTAACTTTGTTATTAGTGAAAGTACAAAGTTGTTTGAATTAGCAAACTAGTAGCATTTTTAACGCTGGTAAAAATGAGAAATAAAAAAAACAATTGAGAGTCGTTATTTTGATTTTTTTCAGTAAAATAACATTTTTTTAAATGGAAACCCCTGTATATTATATTTTTTTCTGTTAAAGCATCAAATTTTAAACAAAAAAGCTTACAATAACTTTTCTCCTAGGTTACAAATTGTTGAAGTTATGGCCTCCAATCTGAAACAATTAAATTGTATCGACAAACTTTATTTTCAACATCAACTTATAATCTTACAAAATACAATAACAATTTTTTTTAAAGAAGATGCTCGAAAACACCACCTTGTTCTTCAATACATTTTTGGGCACGTTTTTCAACTGCTCGAACTGTCTTAAGTATGGTCCTACCATCTATCTGGGTTATCTTTTCCCTAACTGCAGTCTTTAACGCGTCAAGGTTATCGTACCTTCGCTTGTAAATTTGGTTCTTTAAGTAACCCCACAAGAAGTAATCAAGTGGGTTTAGATCTGGTGATCTGGGAGGCCACTGTATTGGGCCATTTGTTCCTATCCACTGATCATTATAAGTAGTACTTAGAAAATGATAAGTACCTCTGGAGTTGTGGGCAGGTGCGCCATCTCGCTGAAAATGCAGATGATGTCTACTTATAAGATCCAATTCGTCTAAGAAATTAGTCAGAATTTCTGACATAAATTCCACATATCTTTCACCAGTTAGGGTTCCCTCATAAAAGAACGGGCCAACAATTTTTCAACCAATTATACCGCACCAAACGTTGAAACTGAAACGGACTTGTGGGCCTCTTGGATGTACTAACAAAAGATTTTCTCTTGACCAATAATGGTGGTTTTTTCTATTAAACATTCCAGAATTTGAAAAATTTGATTCATCTGTCCATAAAAGGTAACGAAAGTTATTTACATTTTGGCGACAGAAGCTAAGATACCAATGGCAAAAAACAAGTCTTCTCTCTGGATCCCCTGCCAAAAGCGTTTGAACTGGTCGGTACTTATACGGAATAAATTTGTATTTTTTTAAAATCCTTTGAACAGTACCATAACTGAAATTAGAGTCCTTGAGAATATCTGCTATTGAATTCTCACGATAAGCTTCAAAATATCCAATAACTGCAATTTCCGTGGCCTCGCTTATTATGAATTCTTTTTTTGCCCTTGTTTTAGCAAAAACATTTTCGTTGCCCCTAAATTTTCGATAAAGTCTCAGAAAATATCGTTCATACGGTTGAATGCGAGCGGGATATAATTCTCTTGCTCTCAAGGAGGATTTTCTGCACACTAAATAGCATTCTAACATATCACACTTTTCTTCATGGGAGAACATTTTTCTTTAAATTAATGACACAATAAAGCTTATAAACAAGTATTTACACTAATGTTTGACATTATTTGATTTTATCATTGTTTTCCAAAGCCTTCTAGTTGCGAGTATGTCCAGTTTAACAATTTGTCGCTTATCTTAATGCTGTCAAATCGCGAACGCCATGTTGTTTTCATAGCCGTCTTAATATTATAATACTGCAAATAATTAAAAATATTTATCGTTATTTTGACTTTATTTTTGACTTTAGCGGAAAAGTCATTATGAACTTTTTTGTTTAAAATTTGATGCTTTAACAGAAAAAAATATAATATACAGGGGTTTCCATTTAAAAAAATGTTATTTTACTGAAAAAAATCAAAATTACGACTCTCAATTGTTTTTTTTTATTTCTCTTTTTTACCAGCGTTAAAAATGCTACTAGTTTGCTAATTCAAACAACTTTGTATTTTCACTAATAACAAAGTTACTAATGGTGGACACTTAATTTGGATAACCCTGTATATACCTAAATATTTAAATGATTCGATATTTTCAATTATTTCGCCATTTATCCTAACAGTGATAGTATTTTCATTATATTAGCATACATTTTGTTTTAGAAGTATATTCAATTTTAGTTTATTTACATTTAACCATTTTATGATTTTAGTCACGACAGAATTTAGAATTTTTAAAGCATTGCAAATATCTGAATTTTACAGTAGTCTAAAATATTACAAATTTCATTAATGTATAAAATAAATAGTAATGGACCTAGTTTACTACCTTGTGGTACACCAACAGAAACATTTTTTGAGTTTGATAATGGAGATCCAATTTTGGTTTTTTGACATCTGTCTTATATAAATGAAGACTTGAAACTTGTCTCAAAATGGTTAGCATCTAACAGACTAAAATTAAATGCAAGTAAAACGAAAACCTTGTTAATCGGAAAAAACAATGTACAAATGTTCAACTGAATATTGATGGTGAAGATATTGAATTCGTAGAAAATTTTAAATACCCGGGGGTTTTTCAAGATTAGTAGTAAAGTGGGATATTTATCGAGAGTTTCTGGATGTAGGAGTTCATATAGGAGAAAAATTATCTATAATACCATCATTCTTCCAAATTTCTTGTACTGTTCGACTATTCTATATTTAGCAAATAATTCCATTTTTGAAAGACTGCAAATTTTACAAAATATGTGTATGAGAATAATACTAAATAAAGATAAATATACTCCAATTAGGCAAATGCTTAGCAAATTAAAATGGCTCAATGTAAAATTTTTTATCAAATATCTTGTAATGATATTCATTTATAAAGTAAAAAATAACATATTTCCATCAAGTCTAACTAATTTAACATCATCAAATGTCGACCATCATTTACGTAATACTAGAAATAAAGATGACTTCCATTTAATGACCAAAAAGTATAACATATGCTACAAATCTGTATTCCATCAAGGGTTGATTGAATATAATAAATTATACTCAGAGATAAAAGACCAGAAAACTTTGACAAATTTTAAAGTAAAATTGAGAAATCACTTGTTAAATCTACAATTATAGATTGTCCAGCATTTACATCATACACCATATGGCTTGAATTTACTAGTTCTAAGTTTACAATTATTCTGTTTATGTAGCCAAATGTGCTAAATAAATCTTTCTACTACTACTATTTAGTGATTTTGTAGAATTTTGGATAGATCCTTTAAATCCGTAGTGATGTAATTTTGGTAGTAATTTATCCCTGTCAATTGATCTAGAAAATTAATTTTGAAATGCTTTGGAACGACTCTGGTGAATGTTAGAGATGACAAAATCTACTTACCTTTATCGGTCGTACGGCATTAGGCCGTGTTCTGCGCATGTAGAGTAGACCTGTTACACTTAATGTGATGAAAAGAGCCTCCACGAACGATACATAGTTGATCAAGACGTAGACATCTTCTATCACCACTAAAGCGAGCGTTATAATACACTGAAATAAAAAAATGAAAATGGAGTATTGCAGTTCCTTCTAGGAAAGCATAGACTTTCTAAATAACGAATTTCCAACTCTAGTTTCACGGGCTACAGCTCTAAATTTGTCTAGACAATGTAAGTGACACGTAGTATATTGAAATTGTAATCGATTTTTTGAATTTTGTAGAAATGTACGTGTTAGTATACGAGTTTCTAGACCATGTATATTTAATAAGTCGATTTCATATCTCTTGATGTTAATCCAGGTCCTAGATATTTTTGAGGTAGTAAGATTAGACCATCTCATTTGAAAGTGCAAAACGAAATTATGTGCTATAAAAACAGTTGAATATCATACGTAATTATATACAGCGTGAATTATATCTATCTAATTACAGAATCTTACCATAAAAACCAATGAAGGCACAGGAGTCAGTCTTTTAATATCGATAAGGCAAATGGCCAAGGGCAGATGTCCAGCCCTAGCTCCTACAAAAAACAGTCTGGAAGATGCAAAAATGGCACCGTTCAATGACCCAAACGTTGAACAAGCGACGAATATGGGCATTACAAACGAAAAGGCACCCAGCATTTTTCGGCTAAAGGTCACAGCTACGGCTTCTGATGAAAGAATGTCTTCTTGACTCAGAACCACGAAGTAGGCTATATTCGTGATAACGTAGACCAAGGTCACTACTGGCATGGAGATGCAGATGGCACGAGGTAGATTTCTGGAAAATACGATAAAAAACACTAATTTGCTAACATCTAAATATGTGCATAGTTAAAATTTTATTACCGTTATTCGAAATTCGCACTACAACAGAACATCATTATTTTGCATCCATCTACAGGATGTTCGGTAAATAGTACGACAAAAAATGGGAAAGATAGGCGAAAGGCGGATCTACAACGTACCAAAAAATGACCCTAGTAAAAGTTCCACTGTTGCTGATTAAGCAGGTAATTTATCGCAGTGCTTTGCAGTAGCAGTCTAGTACATTTTTATTTCATTGCTGAATACCAAGTTCAGTAAAATAGTTTTCTAAAATAAAAATTACGAAGAAGAAATTAGTTTGTCAAGTTTACCTACTTGTATATATTGAAAATGATATTTCAAATGGCAGACCAACTATTTGAAAATATTTTGCAAAAAAAACAAACGCATATCCTGTTATTTATAAGTACAGCAACAAAAGATATATTAAAGAAAGAGAGACAAAAAATTAATAATAGGGACGCAGGAAAGTAAACGTCAATTTGACATAGACGCCATCTTTGTTTTCTGCCACCGACATGTCATTTTGTTAGTTGAATGTTTACCATTGATCGCTATGGAGTCGTATTCGATTGAAGACCGCATTAAAGTTATTCAAGAGCACTATAAAAATGGTTCAAACATAAAAAACACGTTTCGCGCGCTTCGTGAACATTTCGGTCGCAACAACCGCCCAAACGAAACAACCATCGGTCGTCTGGTGCGTAAATTCGAGGCAACAGGTTCTGTGGCAAATCTGCCAGGCTCTGGCCGGCCAAGGAGCGTTCGCACACCGGAAAATATTGCTGTTGTGAAGGAGAGTGTGAGAGACGATCCGAACAACGCGTCGATCCCAAAAATTGGGCATTTCGAGAACCAGTTTGCTCCGCATTCTCCACAAGGATTTGAATGTACACGCCTACAAGATCCAATTGACGCAAGAGCTGCGTCGGGCCGACCATTTTTCGCGCCGAACGTTCTCAGATTGTCTCCTTGAACACCGCCAAATTGATGCCAATTTTTCATCAAAAATCATGTTCAGCGACGAAGCGCATTTCACTTTGAATGGGACGGTAAACAAGCAAAACTGCCGCATCTGGGCGAACGAAAATTCCCGTGAGTATCAAGAGCAGCCGATGCATCCTCAAAAAGTGACTGTGTGGTGTGCATTGTGGTCAAAAGGCATCATCGGACCTTACTTTTTCGAAACTGCGGCCGGGGACGCCGTTACCGTCAATTCTGAGCGATATCACGTGATGATAGAGGACTATTTTTTGCCGCAACTTGAAGGAATGGATATGGACGATATTTATTTCCAACAAGACGGTGCAACATGCCACACAACCAACGTCAATATCCATCGATTGCAGTCCTTCTTCGGTGATCGCGTGATTTCGCGCAGAGGAAATGTGCCATGGCCACCAAGATCGTGCGATTTGACTCCCTTGGACTTCTTTTTATGGGGATATTTGAAAAGCAAAGTCTACGTCAACAAACCAGCCACCCTCCAAGAACTCAAAAACAACATCATTGCCGAGATAAATGCCATAGAACCGACCATGTTCATACATAAATGGTATAAATGAACCTTCAAAATAAAGTACCCAACTTGATTTGAATATCAATCTTTCTTGCTTTAATATGCGTTTACTTTCCTGCGTCCGTTTTGGACAACCCCATATAATAATTGTGGCAATATAATAATTGTGGTAATATAATATATTGTGACAAAAAATGATTTTTTATTTTAAACATAAAAATAAGAACCAAATACCTAGCTACCTTCTGTGGCACCCGGTGCGGTGGTGTCACCCCAAGTCGAAAGCAATAAATTTGGACAACCCCATATTTCAAAAACAGTAAAACTTTTATTTGTGTCATTTTTTGGTATCTTGTAGAACTGGCCTTCGCCTATCGTCCCTATTTTTTTGTTATACTATTTACGGGAACAATGGTAAAACTTGCAGTCAAAAATAAAAACGTAACAAATTTTATCAAGACATAATTTAGCTACGCCCAATCCTTCGAATTGGAGACTGCTTCTGCCAAAGCGTCTTATATTCTGACACTGTCAGTTTGACGTAAGGTGTACGGTTTATTGACTGATACCTTCGTTGAGATTCAAATTAACTATACTAAGTGACATATAAATCCGAACACTCAGTTTAAATGGTTTTATTTTAATAAAAGTTGGTGAATGTATTTATCTTACTGTAAATAACAAGTGAAAAAAATTTCAGCCTTATCAGTTGGACATTCCGGTTTATATACTGCTTTTTTTTAATTCACTAACGCTCTAAAACTGAATATTTCAGCCGCAGTAAAGAATCAACGTTGGCAGATTTTGGTTCTTGACATCCTTTACGATCGGTTACGATGCCTAGAGTACGGAGACCTGTACGATTTCGTCAACTTAGTGAGTTTGATAGGGGCCGTACAGTGGGACTTCGGGAAGCTGGACTTTCTTTTCGGGCAATTGCAGTTAGAGTGCAAAGAAGTGGAGACACTGTGATTAGGTGTTGTCAGGCATGGCTTCGAGAAGGCCGTACGCAAAGAGCAAGGGGCACTGGACGCCGCCGTAGAACAACAGACCGTGAAGATCGCCGCCTAAGATTATTGGCCTTAAGGGACCGTCTCCACTACCAGGTCCATTGCAAATGAATGGTTTGCAGAACACGGAAGACCTATTGGCATGCGAAGTGTTTACCGACGAATGAGAAGTTTTGGCTTGTTTTCATACCGGCCACACTGGGTCCTCCCTTTAACTCGAGAACACCGACGTCATCGTCTTGAGTGGTGCAGACAACGGTCACTCTGGGATCAGGAATGGAACAGTATTGTCTTTAGTGACGAGTCTCGATTTTGTTTAGGCATACACGATGGTCGTGCCAAGGTTAGAAGGCGACGTGGTGAAAGGAGGAATCCACAGTTTTTTATTGAAAGACATGTTCATCACACTGTTGGAGTTATGGTTTGGGGTGCTATAGCTTATGGTTCCAGGTCACCTTTAATCTTCATCAGAGGTAACATGAACGCGCAGCGTTATATTCACGAAGATCTAGAACTCCATCCTTTACCCTATCTTGACACCCTGGCAGATCCAACTTTCCAACAAGATAATTCCCGACCACATGTTGCAAGAGTCACAATAGACTTCTTTCAACATAATGATGTCACATTGTTACCATGGCCACCAAGATCTCCCGACTTATCCCCAATTGAGCACGTGTGGGATATGATGGGTAGGAGATTGCTCAATTTGCAACGTCCTCCTCAGACTCTAGAAGCACTTCGAGAGGAGTTGGTGGTTGCCTGGAATGAGATACCACAGGAGGACATTGACCACCTGATCAGAAGCATGCCTAGGCGCGTTGGAGAATGCGTAGCACATCAGGGTGCATCCACACATTATTAAAGGTCAAAGGGCTTTAAAGCAGTGCAATCATTTTGAAATTTTTATCATTTACTTATTATGCTTCACTAAGTACTTATACAAAATTTTATTAAAATAAAACTTAGTATATCTTCTAGTGTACGAATTCAACCTACGTGTTTTTTTCGACAGACTAATGAAACATGGTTATAAAATGCCTTATGCTTGAAAAATGACGACAAACAATACATTTCGGTCAATAAAAATGCAACTTTGTTTAGATAAAGAAAAAATATCCCATTGTTTGAGGATCTCTCAAAGCAGGGAAAACAGTAAGATTATGACTTGATATTAAAAAAAATTGAAATTAACATAAGCTTGAGAAATGTGTACGAATATTTAAAAAAATGTCGTCAAGTAGGTTGACTCTGCACTTCCCACGCTACGCCGTTATCAGTTCACAAAGAATTATGTTCAGCACAAAGAGCCTCTGGGAAAAAACTAACTCAAACAGATTCTTACAATTTCTTTCCCTAGTAGTACATCCGGATACGTCCCCGATACATAACCCGGTTAGACGTGACAACGCGGTCACAGCATAGGAAACACTATGCCGGGAGCAGCAGCCGCGGCCGGTAGATACGCGATGCGTCTGCTGAGAACAGTTTTAAGGGCTAATCAAGCCTATGTATGTACTAACATCAAAAAATTGAGGTAAACTTTCATCATCCCTCAACAACATCTCCCAAGATTTATATCTCAATTTCCTCTGCCGCCTCTAGAACGATTTTCAAAAACTACAAGGCCTTTGCATGCTTGGCATAGTTTAAAAATCTCAACGAAATCACAACGGTACTTCTCAAGTTATATGAGGTTATAAGATTAGCGGACAGACCGACAGACAGACTGACGTGTTTTTGTAATTTCTACAGGGTGTCCGCAAAGTTGGGGTTTTCCTTTACACGTCGTGTAGATCTTGAAAACATAAGCAATTTTTCTTAGTACCATATACACCAATGTCTTAAGGGAACCGAGATAAAGGGCTCTGCAACATCAAAAATATCTGAATACCGTCCTGTAGCCGCGACCCGCCGCGATATCCCAGACTGGTACCGGCTACTAGCTGAACCCGACGACAGAACTGGGTCGGGTTCGGGGTCAGTGTGTCAGGTCAGTATGCAACCTTCAACCGACGGTAAAGGGTCACGCGTATAGAGGTAACGAACCCGTATAATCGATTGCATTTCAAAAAAAAAAATAATAATGGCACACTCATACACCAATAATGAACTGATATGTTGTTAATTTATGGCGAATGTCTTCAAAATGCTACAGAATCGTCGCGAGTGTATGCAGATCGTTTCCCTAGACGACATCATCCAAGGCCCCGCAGATTTGTGTACCTGGTCCAGAGAGTCAGGCATACGGGCCATTTGGAGGAATTTCGAGGTGGGAGCAGTGGGAGGCCTAGACAACCACGAATGGTGCAAGTTGAGGAAGAACTACTGAATCGCGTAGACGAGAATCCCTCAACAAGCACTAGAGACGTGGCTAGAGAAGTGCAAGTATCAAGAACTAAAGTGTGGCAAACGTCCAACGTGTACAAGCCCTTCAACCTGACGATTTTCCAGCAAGACTGCGGTTTTGTGAGTAGCTGTTGCATCAACATGACAATAATCCCGACTTTTTGAAGTGCATATTGGTGATAGACGAATCTACGTTCACGCGTAATGGGGTGAATAACTTTCGATTTCAGGCAGAGACGTACTTAGCCCTTGTCGTCAACTGGAGAGTGAGCACTTTTTCCTTTATTTTTTTTTACTTGGTCGCCCTCGTTCCACTACACATTACCTTTGTTATTTCAAGGGTAGTTGTTTCTGAAAAGGAAAACCCCAACTTTGCGGACACCCTGTATATCATATATCATCCAAACAACCTCACTTTTCAAAAAATTTTCGGGATTACAAAAAAATTGCTTTCCTGATCGAAAAATTATAAAGAACCTTCTAAATCAAATATAATAAAAAGCTTGAGAATCTTTTGATAATTTGAAATAAACATGTCAACAGGAGTAGAATTTTGTTTAGTAGCCAATTCCTCTTAATGTAATTTATGCATATTCATTTTTTAGTAGGGTATTGTTTACTAATCTAGTTACCGTTAGTTAATCTGCCCTGAGATAGCTTATCAATATTTTTTTTTGTGTAAAGCAACACTAGATAAAGCCAATGCAAATACAAACAGAGTTTTATTACGCAAGATATGACGTATACCGACATAATTTGAAACTTTCTGGATACAACGTTAGCGTTTACTCTCACTCACACAAGTAAAAAAAGCTCAACTCGTCAATAATTAAAATGACCCTTGTAAGGTGGAGCTTACCTATAAGGATCCTTCAGCTCTTCTGTAACATAATTCAAATAATTCCATCCAGAGTACGAGAACAAGCCAGAGTAGAAAGCAAGAGCTATATATCCAGGTTGCCACCTAGTCCCTTCCATAGGATTCTTGAAGTTTTCCACGTGGCCCGTACAAAGGTAGTACACTCCAGCTGCTACGATGATTAAAAGTGCGAATATTTTTGTTGCTGTGAAGATATCCTGGACTCTTGTTACCCATTTTACGTTGTAGCAATTTATGACCTGCAAGGCAGTTTTGACGTGTATGAGCTGCTTCCTAAATATGGAACAAACATTTGAGATTTGTACCTCACAGCCAGACTAGGATAAGTCCGTTTTTGCTTAGAATGAGTTTTATATGTTAAGTTGATGATGGTGTTATGAACGTTTATAACCTAACTGTAACTAACGATAAGGAAGTAACGACTTTATAAAGTAAGGGCCGGTTGTCAGAGCAGATTGATGTAGATAATGGATATAGACTAGTTAGGACTGTGGAGGTTACACCAATTTTTAGTTAGAAGGTGTTCAACTTTCTCCAGAATATAATTTAATGTTTCATGATTCTTTCTGGTTTATTGAAAAAAGCGGTCGGGGTTATTTTTCAACGGCTTGAACAAATGATGATATTACCATAATGTCCCTCTTACAATTTGTGGGTTGAATACCAACTTTCTTTCTAGTGATTATTTTAGTTACAGACCTGTCCAATGCAATAAAGTTATCTTCAGATGAGCTAAACCCCACGTTGACGCGAAGACTACGCTGGAACTGGCAACAAGCCGGTTTTATTTGCTTTTTTCTCGTCACCACTGTGTAAATGACCAGCGCCGAAATTCGGTACCGATCGGCGCTGGTTGTTTTCGCTCTAAGGCAGCACCAAGTGCCATCTGTACATCTGCTACCAGAATCGACCGCTACGAAAGAGAAAACACCAAGAGCTGTCTGTTGGAACTGTATGCCAGTTTGTAAATTTTATGAGTCACACACAGCACAAGATATATTTCAAAAATTATTTGGTCTTAACCTAGTCTCAAATTCAAATTCGAAAAAAATATATTTTCTAGATCCGTCTCTAACATTTTTCTCTTGCCTTGTTCTGAATGTACAGGGCGATCAAAATTTGGCATTGCTAATCTTCAAAAATCATTCAAAATGACTAGGTATCTCAAGTTACAGTACAAGGCTACAATTCCCTGTCAAACTGTTTCAGGGTCATTTGAACATTTTTTGTGGATTAAGTCGCTTCAACGAAGAACTATAATGTTCGAAAGTTTTTGTTCACCCTGTGACTTTTAAGAATCAATAAAGAATCACTGCTTGAATTTTATAAACATCTTGTCTATTTCAAAATGATCTTTAGGGTCGATAGAATTTAAACAAAAAATAAGCCTGTAGTGGCACGAATGATAAAACGTTTTTACAATTTACAATTTAAATTTAAATTCAATGTCAGAACATTAGAATAATATATCCATTACTTTATTGACCTGGTTCAGCAAGTGTGAGTGTAAGTTCCAAGGTACCCTAGTATCAGATTCTTAGTTATGCTTTTTTGCTGGAAAGTGGAAAATCACTCAAGTATTCGGTTCAAAACTCATAGAAAGTTTTTATTTTTGAAGCAAATGTAATTAAATATGCAATACAACCTTACTATAGAAAACTTGTTTCAAAGCTATGAGCTATAGGGAGGTATAGTCATAATGAGAAGACTTATGGACAAATCTTTTGTTTAGTGTAGGATGCTGATAAACATTAACAATGGACGATTAAGATGTTTTCTAAGTTGAAACATGTGCTGTATTTTCTTTCTGATAACACAACAATGTTGATGGAATCGCCCCATGCCTTTATAAACTTTTTTCATCGGTAAAGTGCAAGCTAACAGTCTATAAACATAAAACTTCTGAAGTTATTGTTGTACACAACTAATTTATTAATTTTTTTTGTTTGTTAAATATTTATAGCATTAATGCTTAAATATCAAGTTTGTATAATTATTCTTTCACGCATTTTTTGAATGAATTTTCTGTAATTCTACATTCTTGTCTATTAAAATTACATCGCTAAGTATTCAAAAAGTGATTTTTTTATTTCACCTTTAACATTTTTAAATTCGAACATTGTTCACTATTCAATTTATTAAGCTCAAATACTCCCTTTTGAAATACAGATGCTGGTTATGCTATTATTACAATTCTGCAGATGAAAATCTATACTTTCTCTCATAGTTATGATAATGACTAATTTTGTTAAGTTTTCTAAATGTGGCGGTAATCAATGAATTTTCAACTTGAATATGAAAATGATAACTATTAAATGACATATAAAGTTTTGTACAGTTAACCACCGCAGTTCTGCTAACATAGACTTAATCTTAGTATATTTGTTTTTAGTTAAAATGGTCGGCATATATAATTTTGAAAATATGTTTGTTTTTCTGTAAAGAACATAGTCGAACAATATAAAAAATGGGGAAGATTTATGGTTTTATACACATTTTTTTTTAATACATACTGAAATTATGGGAAGCTCTATATAAGTAATTTATCTTTTTTTATATTTCTGAAATAATATATTCATAATGCTCTTGAAACAGTACTTTACTATCCACATATACAGGGTGACTTTGAAGTTGAGTCATTAATTTTCAGATAATGATTGTAGAAGGAAGATAAACCAGAATATGTGTGTAAAAATAAAAAAAAAATAAAAAAAAAATGTTACCTTGTTTTATAAAGTATCCTCCCGACAAGTATTTCAGTGCGGACCTGTATTTGATCGTGCGGTCTTGGAGCACCGGCATGCCCTCCCCTGTGAGGTCTTAAGTCACCTGATTCACGAGCCCTTTGTACTACATTTAGCATTTTCGTAAACATATGCCATTTTTTATTTCGTTTGAGCCACGCAACAAACACCACTATTCACTCACGCGTTACCGACTGACACATCTATTGAATACAACTGAATAAAATTGTACATTGTAGTAAAAACATCGTTTCAAATTCTTTCGCTTTTTTGTTTCCGATGCGATGAACGGATAAGGCGGATTATATCCGTTGTTGCCAAACACGAGCACATAATATTATTATTGAGACAGGGCGGTACTCAAACTTCTAAAGGGCTATAACTTTGTTACTTTAATTTTACCAGAAAAATGTTAAAGGAAAAAAACATTTCTTTTGATCAGATCTACTCACTATTAAAATAAATGACTCAACTTCGAAGTCACCCTGTATACCCAAATATTTGAATGATTCGACTACTCCAATTTCTTCATTATTAATTCTTTGAGAACATTCGTGGTTATTCGATTATTTTTATGATATAATAAAAATTATAGTAGTTGACCAGTTGAATGCATATTTTTGATTTCACTTTCAATAAAATTTACCAATCTTTAATTATGCGTTTTTAGTAACTGAGATTTAGTCCAAAAACAGAAATATAATCATGAGACTGCGTCGTAGTTTGTAGAATTACAACATTACCATTCATTCCTCAAAATTGTGTAGGATATTAACGTGTTTTTTCCAAATTCCTACATTTTCTTAAAATGAATACCGGTGCCAGTGTGTATGTATAAGTGTTTATTATGTAATTTAAGTCACAAATGAACCATGAACACGGAGAAAGAAGCTTTTCAAAATTACATCACAGAACCGAAAGATATGAGCGACGGGAAGCACTTTGACAGTCTTTGACAAAGCGGTGTTGCCAGACATTTCCATTATTCTGCCATGCTATGACAATCATTTTAAACATTATTGTTACATTAGGTTTTAGCATACGCCAAACATAAACCAAAACCCAAACCAAAATCCGAAAACTAAACAGAAACAGAAGACGACCCAAAGCAGTCTAAACCAAAGCTTAAACTAAAACCAAAACCCAAACTGTTTGGGTTTCGGTTTGGGTTGTTTGTTGGGTGTTGAAATAGAAATTTTATTCAAAGCATTGTCCGGTGATTTCAGATCAAATCAAAGATCCATCGTGGAAACGGACCAATCTGGCAACGCCGCTGAGATTATCTGGTAAAATCCAGTTTTGTTAATTATTTTCTTTGTTGTGTGAAAATAGGGCTTTAACCTCACCAAGTCACACAGATAGTCTTCTGCATACCTAAAAAAATGAAAACATCACAATTTCTTTGGAATTTCTCAAGATTTCCGGCACTTCAATACCTACCGTGAGAATGCAGGTGGTAGCAGCAGCAAGCAACCTAACAGCCTCGTATGGTGCTGGACAGTCGCCCCAAACAGGCTGAAGTATATACTGGGCGAACGTGATGGCTGTGATTGCGTTTCCAGTTGGAACTAGGATGAACAAGGCGATCCAAAGATAGAGAAAGGCTGGTAGTGGTCCGAACGCTTCCATTATGTAAGCGTAGTCGCCTCCTGATTTGGGAATCATCGTGCCTGGAAAGGACAGTAAGCCTAAATGATCTCTTTTTTCAACGCCGCCTGTGCGTTATTAGTGCTGTTATTTTGCGTAGTGGCGATACAATCCTCCATTATCCGTTATCGAAATAAGTACGTTAGTTACGAAGAATCTTATTTCGTAAGGTTGTATCTTCCTTATTTAGCGCTGTTGCCGGAATTTGTAAACAAATATATTTGTTGAAATATTATAGAAATATGAGTTTTCGATCAGCGATAAAAATAATTGCAGGGAATAGGATGTGCTCTAAATAAATTGAATTGTCCTGAAGAGGTGCCAATATTTACAGGGTAGAACACCCTGTATACGCAATGTGGCAAGATAGCCTTTTATTGTAGTTCTGCTGGTTTTGTCGAAACTTTTCCTTCTGTGGTTCTATGATTCTAAAGCTATTCATTTCTTGTACTGTTCGGACACAGATGTTACCGAGACATCTCTATGAAAAATTTAACAAAATCTTGAAATTTGGGGGTTAGCTTCACGTCAAAGACGAAGAAAAAAATAGAAAACCTGACATGGTCAGTGGTCATAAAAACTCTTTTTTCGTCGAAATTGCTGTCAAAAATAGTGTAACGGGAGGCTTAACGATTCGTTATTTTTGTTGTGCTAAGAACTGTCTATTATCATGAAGTTAAAATACCTTTTCCATAAAAATACATCTGCGTTTACAACAATAATAACACGTTTCTCTTCAAACGTTTTGAAAAAGCAAAAAAAACAACAAATAAGGTGTTTTTCTTTGACATGTTCGGAGCTAAGAAGGGGAAGTCTCATTTAGGATCTTATTTTCACTATAAATGTTGATCTTCCAAAAAAACCTGTCATAACTTTCTAAATAAGGCATATCGCCATAATATTTATTATCGCATCCAGACAGGCATATCTTTAAAAATCCATTAACATCGCTATTTAGGAGCATTTATACAGGGTGTTCGTTAATGATATGCGAATATTTAAGGGTGTGAATCTTCATGAAAAATTAATGTTAGTTTGCTTGATAAACTATGGTCCAAAAATGTTTCCTTACAAAAACTGGAAAATGGAAATTAATTAATATTTTCAAAACCGCTTCAAATATTTCACTGATATTTAATACGTAGTGAAAGTTAATAATGTTGGATATTTTTCAATGCAAAAATAATTTTTATCTTTAACAGTGGCGTGCGTACCGGTATTGACTTCGATATTTTTTAAGAAAAAAATGGTACGCCAATGGGTGTTTGCCAAATAAAAATTATTTTTGAATTCCCCGTTCAATTTAAAACAATTTATGTCTCTTGAATTGTTTTCTTTCGATGCGCCGTTTTTGAGTAAAAAAATAAAAACCGTTGCAAAATTATTATTAATTTAATTGGAAACATTAAACACATTAGGGCTAGTGAACAAAACAACTGATAGCATAAACATAACACTAAACCAACGAAATGATCACAAAAATTATTGAAAATGACCCCCTTCACTTAGTATGCATGCTTCCGCCCTCCTCATGGAATTGCGTACTCGTTGAAATATCCCTGGAGTGTTTTTTATTCCATCACAAGCTGCAACTATTATTTCTCTTAATTCCTCTACAGTGTTAATGGGACTTGTGTACACTAGTGTCTAAAGATAGCCCCACAAAAAGAAATCTAAACTGTTGAGGTCTGGGGACCTTGGTGGCCATTCTTGGTGCCCACCGCGGCCAATCCAACGATTTGGATAAACAGTTTGTAAATAATTACGAACCGCTACACTGAAATGCGCTGGTGTATACTTTATCTGAAGTCACTTGAAATAGCATAAAAACCTTTGGTCGGCGCGTCCTTTGTAATTTCATGACGTATCATAGGCGTGCGGTCATTTATTTAGAACGATAATAATAATGTTTTTATATCACAATAAATGGATTTTACTATCTTCTTATTTTTTTGATTTGGGATAAAAAATACTTATATTGGGAGTTTAATTTATGTTGACTGAAAGTTAAGAAATGGAAAAATTACAGAATTCCAACGTTTGACATAGGCAAATATTTACATAGCAGGTAGGTATATAAAAAGGTATATAAAGACTTACATTATAGGTATATTTATATATCATCCTCGCCTTCGGAGCTGTCGCTAGAGTCATCTTGTAGAGGAATTACAACGGGATTTACAGGAGGCAAAACACAATATTCGTTTTCTTTTTCAATAATATGCCTAGAACACTGCTTCCATAGGTCTGTGGCAGCAATATGAGATACTGCATCTCTTATTGTGGCCAATAGCGATTCACTTAATTGAGGGGTCTGATTATGTTTTCTTACTTTTTTTTTAAAGCAGCCCAGACCAACGCAATCGGGTTAAAAATGCAGTAATAGGGAGGTAGACGTAATACTTCATGGCCATTTTGCTGAAGCAGATTGTCAACAACATACTCTTTTTCAAATTTTTGTCTTTTAATAAGATCCAATAATATGGCTTTGGTTGATTTTTGTGGTATTTCCATTCCCTTATCCTTCATAAAATCAATAATGTCTTGTTTTTTGTGCCTGTATTCGGAATTTTGTTTTTCTGTCGGGAATGGTATGGCGCATTGTCCATAATAATCACTGAATTTGGCGAAATGTTTGGTATTAACTGCTGCTCTATCCACTTTTCAAATAAGTCGGAGGTCATGTCTTCATGGTAGTCGGCACATGATTCTTTGATATTTTTGGCAGATAACAGCAAGGCATTAGGTATAAATCCATTTTCACTGCCAGCATGGAGAATAATGATTCGTTTTCCACGGTTGCATGGTGCATTTAAAATGCACTTGTTGCTGTCGTCAACCCAGCCGTACTGCACAACATCATGGGTATCATACCACATTTCATCCAGGTAAATCAGATTTCTTTTCTGCTCTCTATAGATTTTAACTTTGTGCAAAAATTCTTGGCGCAATTCAACGATTCGAGACGACTCCATAATCACCATTCTTTTAACTAATTTTTTGTATTGAAAACCACACAGTTTTAATTTATCCCGTATCATTTCCAACGTGGGCACTAAATTTTCTTTATTAAATCCGTATATTATACGACGAATATCTTCCTGAAAATCCACGTCTATTCTTTTTAATTTTTGCCCTATGCGCTTTCTGTGGAAGGAATGGTTGACTACATCTCCCCTTTTTATAACCCGATAAATGGTAGACCGACTGATTTTTGTCAGGATACAAATTCTGTTTAAAATTTGATTTTGCGAGGAATCTGGATTTTCGTTTTTCAGACAATCATACATATTTAGGATTACTCTTTGGGTCTGTTCCTCTAAATCTTTATGAAAGAATTCTGCCTGCACAGGTTCATCAACCATCTCCTCGTGGCTTGGAGCATTTTCCCAAGGTCTCCAAAGAGCCATATTTAGGACACACAAGAACAATCAACACAACAATTAAATCAACTAGTAAACTGAGTATTCAAAAGTCAAAAACACACAAACTAATAAAATCTATGAAAAAACACGGACAGACTAAAGAAAACATGTTTATTCACCGCTACACGGCACTGGCTAAACTGTTTCAATTTTCAGTAGCCACCTGCACTTGTTCGGAGCTCTGAAATACACGCTTTCTCATTGGCTATGTCCACGCATAGGCGTGCTTCACTCCACGTGGACCGATGAAACTGCCTTTGATCTTATACAGGGGATATTTGCTGCGAAATTTGGCGATTTTTGCAGCAACAAGAGCGTGTTAAATATAGATATATAAAACGCACCCGGTATTTCACAGTGTTTCAAGTGACTTCAGATAAAGTATACCATCATGCATGTACCACATATTGTTTCTTATTACTAACCGAACATCATCAAGCAGCAAAGGCAACTGTTGTTGAAGAAAATTGAGGTAAGTCTGTCCGAAAATTGGTGTTGGAAATGGGTTTCGGTTTCAGTATAGCGATTTTCTTCTGAATACAAATGATTATTGTGAAAATTCTGAAGAGCATTTCGAGAAAAATTAGCTTCGTCCGTGAACAGAATCATTGATTCAAATTGCGGATTTTGTGTAATTTTTTGAAGCTACCACTGACAAAAGGTCACACGCCTTGGAAAATCAATAGGAAGTGATGCCTGTACTTTTACAATATGGTAAGGATATAACAAAAAAACCTCTAAAATTCTCCAAACAATTTGATGGCAAATATTTAAGTGTCTAGCGATCTTCCTCGTACTCGTTCCAGGATGTTCTTCGACTTCGTGCAGCACTGCTTCCACTGCTTTCTCACACTCAGAGGTCTACCTTCAGATGTTCCTGTTCTGACAGAACCAGTTTCAACAAGACGACGATGGATATTAGGAAAGGTTCGACAATCTGGCAAAGCACGATCGGGATATCTCTGGTGATAAATCCGTCTGGCTTGCTCACCATTACCGTCGGCAAGGCCATATACGTAATGCATTTCCGCCATTTCTGCATTTGAATAATTCACCATTATTCACAAGATTGTAAAAACTAAATAATGAAAAAGATGCCACCGCGAACAGATTTGAATAACAGTGACTTTTCAGATGTCAAAAGCCAGTGACATATTCCAGAGCAACTAGATATTTATTGCTAAATTTCATTCTTCAATTATTACATTAATTTTCTCGGACAATAGAACGGTTTTTATTTTTTTACTCAAAAATGGCGCATCGAAGGAAAACGATTCAAGAGAGATCATTTGTTTTAAATTGAACGGGGAAGTCAAAAATAATCTTTGTTTGGCAAAAACCACTGGCGTATAATTTTTTTCTTAAAAAATATCGAAGTCAACACCCGTACGTACGCCACTGTTAAAGCTAAAAATTATTTTTGCATTGAAAAATATGCAACTTTATTAGCTTTCACTACGTGCGAAATATCAGTGAAATATCTGAAGCGGTTCTAAAAATATTAATTAATTTCCATTTTTTTCCTGACTTCAACTCCCTGAGTTTTTGTAAGGAAATATTTTTGCACCATATTTTATAAAGCAAACTAACATTAGTCT